AAAAACACCAAAACGTCTATCTTTTAAGATGGGAGGGAGTATGTCCCAATTCAAATACCAAGTGGGTCTCCTGAGATGGACATGGAGGATGTATCAGTGTTTCGTGCGGTTTCCCATGGTCCTCCTCCTTTCATGGTGAGTAAGCAACCAAAGTCGTCTTTTAATGTGTCTGATAGCTTTTGGATTTCTAAATTTTACAACTCTTACCACCAGTTTCCCTTTTTTGACCCCATGTTGTCTTTTTTTCCACAAGCAGCCCCTACCTGAGATAGACAAGGAGGCTGTAACATCGGTGTTTTGGGACATCAGTGAGTGTCCGGTTCCGTGTGGCTTTGATGCTCGTCTGGCCGGTCCGCATATTAAACGGTATTTGAAGAATGAAGGCTACGCTGGTCCTCTCACCATCACTGCCGTTGGAATCCGTCTTACTCACGTCCTTGAGGGTTAGTATCTTGTCATCCTTATGCCCTTCTACAGTAATAATGGATCATATTATTAAATAGTGTGGGTCTCAAGTCTATATTTTCTGAAACAGGTTCCAGAGAAATGATGAGTCTTATGTATCGGTCTATCAATAGTAATCCACCTCCAGCTAATATAATGGTCATAGCCAATCCGAACTTTGTTCGTTATCATACCTACGGCCCACTGTGCATACAATTTTCTTCTTCTACCTTCTTTCGAAGAGTGTCTTGTGGCAGGAGTAGGTGAGGAGGAGGATAAGTGCGGTGAAACGGGTGAATGGGTTTGCACCTAATCATGCTTCCCAAGGCTTTGAAGATTTCACCACGCATCTCGCTAGTAGAGCACATGAACGGAAAGTAAATCAAGCATCCTAGCCAAACTGTTTTGTCAATACACATTTTTGAGTCCCTTTCTCACTTGTTGTTATGTTTTGACCCCTTGTGCATTTGTTTATTCACACAGATGTTGGACTGTGTGCCTAGGAATGTTCGGCTTTCAAAGAAGCAACCACTGAATGCTTCCTACCACAGGCAAGTTTAAATATCCGATAACGTTGTGATTTATAGTTTTTGGAATTCTAGGTTTTCTTAATGAAAACTAAAACATTGTAGCGAGCAACTGTGAGGATGAGGGTGCGAAGAAGAAGAGTAGATTGGGCCATGGTGTTGTTCTTCTCTAAAGGCATTTCGTATGGTGAATGATGTACTCTCTAATACTTACTTACTACTTACTAGATTAGTGTCTCCATTATAAACTCTCTAATCAAATATTTGTATTAGCAGCCAAACAATCATATACATTATTCTTGTTTCAAACCTTTTTCGTAGTAGTTTACATTGTATGAACATAAACAATCGAAATGACATGACTGTCTGTGCTAAGTGCCTAACATTCACTTAACTCATTGTAATATTAATGTTCTAAGTTTTCTGGTTGGTTCTGTTTAGTGATTGCTTGCATCGTTGATAAAACTTAACTATGACATGAAAACTACTTTTTCATCTCTTTAAACAAAAATTACTAAATATAGGAATAGGGAAAAAATCCATGTGAGGATGATGATATATCTTTTATTTCTTTTGGGATCAATGTTTATATATCTACACGAACGTGAAAACTCCTGAGAGATGGCAGAAAATGTTTTGTGAAAGTGAAAAAAGCTCCAAAAAGAAAAAGACTTTTCAAGAGATGGAAGCTCCTCTATTGCTTTCTTCTAGTGCGGTCGCTGAGAGTTTTACCTCTAAAATCCCAAGTAAATCATGGTACTGAGCGAAACCCGAGTGAGACTGCAACGATAAACAAGTTTTAAAGACCTGGTGAAATGGGGATCGATTGATTCTTGTGGAAACAAGAGTTTACCTGTAATGTCATGCTATATGCTTTCCACAATCGTACATCATACCGGAAAATATCATATAGAACCTGCGTCATGACAGATATTTTAACCAACTTGATTACGTCAAATGGGTTGCGATAATGGTGGAAAGTAAAAGATTCTATACCTCGGACCGTTGTAAAAGAGTGGCGAGAACAACTATCCACTCTTTGAACTTCACTGAACACATCTGAGCCAATAGAAACTCTGCATCTAACCGGTTCTGTAGCTCACTCATTTGCAGCTGAGAGGGATTCAATAGTAGACTTCAAATTCAGATAAAATTACTTTAAAAAATGCAGACTTTCTAAAGAAACCACAGTGGAGTTGATTCCTACCTTTTGTCCAATCAGTTCAAGTCCTGTGGCAAAATTCTCCAGCTGAGCACAACCGTATCTTTCTCTTTGAAGAAAATCCTGGATTTTTGAGATTGTTAGTGAATATATACCTCATGGCGTTCCGACCATAAAAAGGTGAAAGATACAGATTGCATACGTACCACGATATCAAATTGGGTGCCTTTCACAAAGGCAACAAGCTTTGAAAGTTCTTTACCCGACATCAAGTAACTGGCATGGCTTTCAAGTATGCTCTTGACAGAAGCAACATGAGGACTTTGCTCCTTGAACGAGAAGCTGCTTCAGAGACGAGTTTTTCAAATGAAATTGATCAGAGAAGGCAATTGTAAAATCAAAAAACAGAATCAGAGGTATAGTTTCAACCTTTTATCAAGTGATGACTTCTTGTGGCTGGAACCAAAGATAAGAAACCCGAGAAGCTTAGGCGATAATGTATCTGATTCTGTTGGCGCCTGCTCAATTTCTCTTCCAGATCTTAGTAAGAACCTCACCTTACAACATAATTGGTATATGTGACAAACATTATTATTAAGGATTCACGCTTTAAATAACCCATTTCAAACAAACAACAAGAACATCAAATACATACTAGCTCTCCAGCAAGATCATAGAGGGACTCATCAAGTGTCGCCTGCAAATGTAAAGATGTACTTGTCGTAAGAATAGAAGGAACAAAATCGACAAGAAAAGAGTCACAAGGTAAAAATTCCAAAGGCAACAGACGAAATTACCTGCAATAATCGTAATGCGCAGTACTGACTGACAGCAGGACCTTCAAGTTTGGCAATCACCTGCGCCATTTCTATACTTAGTGTGCGGTTTAAAACATAGCTTAACAGATTTCTACAGTGATATATAATAGTAACTCCATGCGCTTTTGTCCCATTATCAAATGAAGACTGTACTGCTACTTGCTTAGTAACGAAGATATGACTCGGTTTTGTTGATACACTTAATTAAAAATACTAAAGGGTTAAGGACTTCTGAGACTTACAAGTATATAGCAAGCTGCGGTTCGATACCATCTTCGCTGGAAGCAATCCTCAAATAACCTATAACCAAAAGACAATATCAAGTTTTATAGCATAAAATACAGTTTAGTCAACAAGAAGAGCAAATAAGATAAGAGAAGTTTTCCATTTTAGCACCCTAAAAAAGGCTAGTTTTATAAGTGTTTACAGGAAACAAAGAAGCATACGTTGTTGATATCCCAGCAGCAGCAAATAAATCAGCCCAGTGACGGGCATCGGTTTTTCTGGCAACATTCACAACCACGTCATAGTACTCTGGGAAATGTTTTATTAAATCACAGGCTTTCCGCAAAAGGGATAATTTTTTAAGATGTCCAGGTCCTGAAATCTGGTTCCTGTTTGCATTTGGCCTGAAATTTGTGATATGCCCACGTATTTGGAAAAAAATCAAAACAAGTGAAGCAATACAAGAAAATTGAGTAAAAATACAAAAATTGAGATGCTTCATAGAAACTGATAGACATTGGATACCTAGAAATATCTGCATCGAAAACAGTAAAAAGAAGCCACTCCAGGCAGTGGGAGAAGTGAGGTTTCTCTGCAGATAATTGTGCTAAGAGTAACGCCTCTTCATTTTTATCTCTCTGTTCGTAGT